AACCCTAACCCTAACCTAAACCCTAAACCTAACCCCTAACAATAACCCCCTAACCCTAACCCTAACCCAAACCCTAACCCTAACCTAAACCCTAAACCTAACCCTAACCCCTAACCCCCTAATCCTAACCCTTAACCCTAACCTAAACCCTAACCCTAACTTTGTCGAACTTGGAACCAATTTTAACCTTTACAGTGACTTTTCTGTCAAGCCAGTCCCATCGGAATTTATTCTTGACATTTGAGTCAATTACTAGGATTGAAGACTCCTGATCTTCCGTCAAAAAATTCTGAATTCCGCTCAAAACGATCCCAGAACAATGAATTGGCTAGACGAACAGGCCGCCATGAATCAGGTGAAACAATGTGTTACGTGCAATGTGATTGGTCCAATCGCTTGTAGTTAACCAATCGCTGGGCCGTATGTAATCGAGCCAAGACTTCCGCAACAAATCATGCCTTCAGTGATCTGATTAGTTGAAGCTTTCATACACGTCCAATCGCAGGGCTGTTTACAAACGGAAAACGGAGAGACTGTTCGGGAGAGCTCGTGAAAACTCGACGATAAGGTACCTGACCGCCCCTAAAAATTTTCTCAACGGATTTAGACGATTCACAAAAATGATCAATTTAAGAAATAAAACGGCGGATTTCCGCGGAAAATTGCCATCTATGAAGATATCTATACATAGATCGATCGATATACAGTATGTAGATATAGAGATGGACAGAGTGTGACCGTGGGTGCGCGTGGGGAAGTTGACATGTCGAGTGAAGTTGAGGCGGTCCAGAAATTCAGAGGCGTTTTTGCAGTTGCTGTTGTCGATATGGAAGTTAAAAGTCGACAAGAAGCAAGTGAAAGGTGAAATGGGTGAGAGCCGCGTGACCAAAAAAAAATCAACACGATCAATTTGATATGCAGAGATGGAATTTTGCATTTGAAATCGGAAGTGAAAATGTCCACGGGGAGTCTTCTTCTGTTCAGTGACACCAAATCAAATGGAAGCGATCTCCGCGTCGGTCGGCGGACGGCGTCTTGTTGACTTTCAAACTTGGCCCGGAGCGGACGCGTGGATCGCGGCGTCAAAAGCGGGATGGCACGGCGTGTTCATGGGCCCGAATGACACGAGCGATGCGTCCAAATAGGGACGCGTTCGTGACGTTGGATATTCAGATCTTTATTTACCAATTGGACACTTGAACGGTTTTGTTGTTTTTCCAGACAATGATCTTTTCCGTGTGTGCGCGTGCGATGAGAGGCGCGCGGACGCGAGGGATCCCGTGGGATCTCGGCCTGCCCCGAAAGAAGGCCGTGCGAGAACTCGCTCTCCCTACTCCCGTTCTCGTTGGCGTCCGCGTCACGTTTTGTTTTTGGCTGATTTTCTTTTCTTTGGGGGGGGGGGATAATGATCGGATGTAAACGTCTCCCCGCCCTCTTTGACGTCCCGGCGTCGCGGTTCCGAACAGTCGAGCTTCATCGACTCAGCTCTCTCCGCCTAAAACGGCCGTCCTCGCGTTTCACGCGGAGCGCGCGTCTCGTTTCATTGGCGCAGACGCGTTCCGGAGCCGTTCTGCCGACTCTTTGATAAACGAGGCCCGAGTTGAGGCGCGGCGCGAGTCTGGAGGAGAGACTCGTCGCGCCTCGCTCGGGGTCTCCTCCTCCGCAGGCGCTTTGGGAGCGGGGCACGCGCGAGCCTCCGGCCGGAGCCGTTTTTTCGGGCGAGCGTCCATCATGACTAAGCGAACGCCCCGAGAAGCGTTTTCCTCGAAAAACGGGCGGCTTCCAAATGGGATTTATTCAAAGAAAAAACATTCCTTCAGAAGGTGAGTCGAGTTGACCTCTTGTTCTTTATTGAAGTCTCTCATGCAAAATGGCTTCAACCCGAGGTTTGTCTTATGCCCCCCCCCCGCCCCGCCCCCAAGATTACAATGTCGCGTTTGTTTGCGAAGAAGAAGCGCATGAAAATGCTCCAACAGCCCCAAAGGTTCCCTTGTCATCTGCATCCTGATTTCAAGACGCGGCGCGCACGCCAAAAGGACGTCCTCATCGCGCGGCGTTCACGTCTGCCTCGGGGGGCCGATTTTGGACCGCGGCGTCACCGGGAGAAGCGGCGTCGGCGGAGCCCACCGAGCGGCTCCGCCGACCGGACGTCACGCCGAGGGGTCGGAAGCGTGCGGGAAGCCGCCGTCCGCCGATTGGATGGGATGCGCGGGTCGTCGCGGGCCGCCGTCCGTCGCTCCCGGCCGATCCGAATCGTCGGGAGTCGATGATTCCGATCGAGCGAGTTCCAGGTGGAAAAGGGGCGCCGCCGGCCCCTGGGCCTCGATCGGAGGCTCGGATGAGGGCGGCGGAAAAGAAAGCCGGCTCGACGGGCAGAGCCCCCGCCCGGCAAAGGGCGCCGCGCGAGCTGGGAACCAAGAGGCCACGAGAAGAAAAAGGGAGGGGAGGGGGCGGGGCTTTGAGGACATCCCGCGTCAAGGGCCCGGGGGTAAGCGGCACTTGCGATTGGGCCCTTCCGCCGCCGCCTCCCTCCTCTCCCGCAGGAAGTTTCCAAAGGCCTCCTTCTCTCTGCTCTCCTCCGCCCCTGAACACAAACGCAGACGAGAGGCCGCCGTGAGTTATGAGCGCCCGACGCGGAGGCTTTGTTCCTCCCACGTCAAGCGAGCTCGGAATGAGAAGAAAGGCAAAAGGGCCGCCTCTCCCTCTCTCGACGGTCGCACGCCGCCGAATCTGCGAGCGTTTCGTCGCCGCCGGGCTTTTCTTGCGGCCCTCGGAGACGTCGGGCTGCGGAAAATGACAAGACGGGCACGGAAACGCAACGAGCGGGTCGCCGCCCGTTTCGACGCGCGCCGATCGTTGGATCGTCTGCGCCCGAATCCCGCGACAGCTTCGGAAGCCGTCGAGAAGCGAGCCCCCGCTGGCGGCGCATGCCCGAAAGGGACAGGAATGGGGAAAGGCCGCGGGAGGGCGGGTGACGGCGAGGAGGAGGGGGGGGAAGCGCACTTGGGACGGGGAAGCAAAAGGTCACCTCCGCACCCTCGCGGCCCGCCGCCTCGGAGATCGGAAGGAGACGCACGCGCACGCGGAGGCCGGCCGGCCGCCGTCTTACCGCCGCGGTCCACGTCATCCGTGTCGCTCGCTGCCTCGTCGTCGTCGTCTTCGGCGCCGCGGGTCATGATGAGGTCGCTGGGCCCGCCCGCGCTGGCCGTTTCTGGGAAAAAAAAAAGACAATCAAACAAGCGGCGCGGTGCCATCGGTGGGTTCCGGCCACAATCGCGCGCGCAAATCACAAGGAACGAACGCAGCTGCTCTTGCATCCCCGCTGTCGGAATGCTCCGGCCTGAGTTTCAGGGAATTGCCCCTCCCCTTTCTTTCCCATCAAGCGCGCAGGGTTAGGCGCGACAAGCCCGTCTCCTCTCTGAAAAGCAACTCAGATGAGTGTCGCTCGGTCGCCGCGGTCTCCGTGGCGCGCCGTGAGAACGGGGGCGGGGGGGCAAAAGCGGGCGATCGGTTTTCACCCAAAATAGCGGCACGGCACGGCACGGCACGGCACGGCACGGCACGGCACGGCGAACGGAGCCGCGCCGCTCTCATCGATCCTCGTTATCATCGGCCACGCGGGGATAGCTCGCGCCTTCCGCGCCCCCAACGCAAGACTCGGAAGGCAACGCCGACAAATGTTTCCGAGCCCAGAAGCTTTCGAGGTTCAATGGTGCGTTGGAGACGCACACGCGCGTACCGCCGTGGTCTCAAATGTGCCGAGTGCGATCGCCGTTGGCATCTTTCAAGCACGCGGGGACCCGCGCGCACTTCCGCAAACATTCCGAGGGCTGAGCAAAGGGCCCCTTTTCAGCCGTCGAGCGCGACAAGCGAGGGATCCCTCTCTCCGTAAAGCGCGGAGTGAGATTCGGCGGGACGGTGCCACGCCGGGTTCAAAAGCCAAACGGCGGAGCCGCCTCTCGCTGAAAGCCAGCGGTCGGAGCGTTTGGCTCCGCGAGGGGACCGCCTGGGTCCTTTGACGCCGCCAAAGTTTGGCAAAGGCGTCGCGCTCGCCGGCATCACCTCATCCGCTCGGAAGCGGGGGTAAACGTTGCCGTCCGGAGGCCCCGCCCGGGAAGGTCCGAGCTGGAGCTTTCGACGGGGAAGGCGCAGGTCACTTTGGCTTTCTCCAAAAGAAAAAATGACGAGAGAAGCCGGCCGAAGCGCCCCCACCTGCGCCCGAATCGGTGGTCATGCGGACGGCGCCGAGGTCCCTGCCGAGTCGCTCCAGCTGCTCTCGGCGTTTCCCGCTTTCGGCCTCCAGCTGCGGGACGGGGGAGGGGCGAGAAACACAGGCGGGACTCTTTGGCGGGCGCACGCGCAAACACTCACCAGCCGCTTGCGAAGTCGCTCGTATTCCGGCCGATAATCCCTGAGCGGCAAGAGCACAAATGGCAAATTCTTGTCGGAGGAAGGAGAAGCGACAGAAAGAACCGGACCGCGCCGGCAAAGTCGACTCCTTTGACCCGGGTCGGGGGAGCCGACGCAACGGGCGGGCGGAGAAAGGAACGGCCGCGGTGCCGGCCGCCATCTTTTTCGGCTTGAGCGGCGCCTGAAAGGGGCGGGGCAAAGGTTTCCGACGAGCCGTCTCCAAAAGAAGCGCGGGCGCAAAGGGCCGCCCGTCGCGTCTCGACTGCGGGATGGCCGGCCGGCCTCAAGCGCGGAGGCAATTTTGTTCCTTCCCTATCGCCAAGGCTCGGACGACCGGGCCCGGGACTTCATTCTTTTCCCTTGCCCGCGGCACGCACGTCGGAGCGCTCGCTCAACGGGGCTTTTGGCGCGGCCGGCCGGCCGGGAAAACCTTTGCATCCGTCCGCCTTCCGTCGGCGCGAGTGCCCTTTGGTCAACTTTGGAGCCGGGGCCGCCGCCGTTCATGGTGCCGTCCACCCGGGCGATGGTCGGCTCCCTCCGACTTTCAACGCCGGTGAGACTTTGGAAGATTCTCACCGCTCGTACTCGTCGGCCGCCTCCCGCACCTTCGCCAGCAGCTGGTCCAAGCCGGCGCCCGTCACCGACGACGCGCCCACCACCTGCGAGCGACGAGCGCCGAGTCAGCCCGGCCGCCGCCGCCCAAGGAGGCCCGCCCGGCCGGCCGGCTTACCCTGAGGTCGGAGTAGAAGCGGTCCAGGACCAGACTCATGGAGCGCGTCAGGTTGCTGACGTAGGATCTCTCCTGGTTCAGGGCGTCCTGGAAAGCCTCAAAGTCGTTCATCCACTCCACGGCGAAGCTTTCCCCGATGATGTCCGTCTGCAAGACGCGCACGCCTCCGTCAGGACGCCGTCGCGAAAGGCGCTTTCCGACCGCGCCTTTCTCACCGCCGATTTCTCGAAACTCACGGTGAGAAAACCAAGAAACGGGAAAGGCAAAGAACCGCGCGCCGTCCGGCGGCACTTTTCAGGACGGGCGGGCCGGCCGACGCCCGCTATTGGCGGGAGCGGGCCGGGCCCGCCGACGCACGCGCCATCAACGGCGAGTGAAAGGCCCGCTTTGAAATCCGAGAAAGTGAAAGCGACAAACGCGGCTCGTCGACCCCGACGGCGGGCTTCGCCGTCGGCCGGACGCGGCCCGAGGGCCCCGCCGCAAAGGAGGATCCGAGACGCGACTCACTTTGTTCATGAGCACGATGAAGGGGAGCTTGGTCTTGTAGAGGATGCTGCAAAGACAAGGGCGGACATCCGACGACGTCCCGAACGGCGGCCAGGCGAGGCGGCGGCGGCGGCGGCGACAGAGACGGCTTTCCCGACCTGCAGGCGTACAGCATGTTGGACATGAAGGTGACGGGGCTGACGCTGCGAGACGTGTCCATGACGTAGACCACCACGCAGGGGAAGGACGACGCCTGCCGGGCACAAAGGGCGCGTCAAGCGCCGGCGAGGATTGCGAGCGAGCGGCCCGAGGGCGGCCGGCGACGGACGCACCAGAGCTTCCGTGATGATGCTGCCGGACGCCGACCACGTGAACACTTCGATCTGGCCCGGCGTGTCGATCAGGACGTACCTGCGGAGGCGCGCCGAGGGGCTCGAGATCAAGCCGAGAAAGGCCAAAGGTCGACGCCGCGTTTCCTCGTCCCATCCGCCGACTGACCTGTGATCGTGCCGCTTCTTCTCGATGAAGTGCATCACCTGAAAGGCACCCCCACGAGTTGGCCTTTTCAATCCGATTTCCCCGGCGCGGGACGAATGGAGCTTCTTTTCTCTTAGACAGTTGTGAACTTGCAAAGGCGGTGCCGAAGGAGCGCGAGTCACCTGATCAAAGCGCGTGGCAAACAGGTTGAGCGAGGTGACGATGGCGCCGTTGGGTCCCAGGCCGTACTGCTTCATCACCTCTTTGTAGTTGACCGTGTCCCGAATGTCTGCCGGGACGGACGTCGAAGGGAGGCGGCCGCTTAGCGAGCGGAGAGCGGCGCGCGGCGACGGGCGCGGCCTTACCGATATTGGCGGGGAAGGGAAGGTCGCGGACGGCGGGGTCCAGGTTGATGACGTAAGGAGGACTTTGGAGGCTGCGAAGGTGAGCCGTCAGCCTCTGCGGAATCCGCCAGACGGGGCAGCGTTGAACCGGGAACCCGGCGGGGGCCGCCGCCGGGCGATATTTCCGTCACGGCCGTCCGAGACAAAGTCGTTCGCCCCCGGGGTTAACTTGACCCAAATGACCCGCGCCGGCGCGTACGTGCGATACGTCGCTGTTGACGTTTCGAAAAACAAAAATGGCTTCTTTTCACCGGATGGAAAAGCCATCGGAAAAGCTATTTCAGTCGTTGGGCGACAGCCCGCGGGCGGGAGGGAGCGACGTCGGACGGGGCGACCTTTTTTTTTTTGAAAGCGCCATCTCTTTTCATGCCGAGTAGCGGGCCGGGCTCCTTCTGGCCGGTGCCGGCCCTGCTGTCTCTTTGCAACATCAGAAGATTCACGTCGTCTTTTTTCACATTTCGTCTCGTGATACTTACAGTATTGGTGAAGCGTTTTTTGGGGAGGCCATTTTGCCTTTCTTGGGCTGCGTTCAAGCCGTTCTTGAGCCGGGAAGGACCCGACGACGCAAACGAAAAACGAAAAAGATCACCGCTGAGGTTTTCGCGTGAGAAAGAAAGGCGGAGTGGGCGACCGAGCCCTCGCGGCCACCCCGCCGAGGTTTCGCAGCGCCGCGAACGCCTTTGCGCGCTGTGACGTCACGTCGCAAAGTGGCCATTTCGCCAGATCAAGTAAGAAAGAAAGAAAGAAAGAAAGCGAATGAAAAACGTTCCGCGCTCTCATCCGGATAGCGTCCCGGTCGGTCGCAGTGAGGCCGACTCGGCGGGTTCGGTTGTTCGCGAGACCTTGTCGGACGGACGACGTTGGCGAGCCGGGCTGTTAGCATCGCCGAGCTAAATGCGCTGAGAAGATTTGCTCCATTTCTTTGGAGCGCTACCTGAACGAAGGTCGTCTTTCCGGATCCGGCCATGCCGAGCACGAGCAAACACACGGCTTTCCTCCCGTCCTTCTCCTCCGCGAGATTCTTCTCAACATCCGACAAGACGTCGCGCGTCGCACCGGGCGCCGCCATTGTTCTCCGCTTCTTCTTCTTCTTCTTCTTCTTCTTCTTCTTCTTCTTCTTCTTCTTCTTCTTCTTCTTCTTCTTCTTCTTCTTCTTCTTCTTCTTCTTCTTCTTCTTCTTCTTCTTCTTCTTCTTCTTCTTCTTCTTCCTATTCTTCTTCTTCTTCTTCTTCTTCTTCTTCTTCTTCTTCTTCTTCTTCTTCTTCTTCTTCTTCTTCTTCTTCTTCTTCTTCTTCTTCTTCTTCTTCTTCTTCTTCTTCTTCTTCTTCTTCTTCTTCTTCTTCTTCTTCTTCTTCTTCTTCTTCTTCTTCTTCTTCTTCTTCTTCTTCTTCTTCTTCTTCTTCTTCTTCTTCTTCTTCTTCTTCTTCTTCTTCTTCTTCTTCTTCTTCTTCTTCTTCTTCTTCTTCTTCTTCTTCTTCTTCTTCTTCTTCTTCTTCTTCTTCTTCTTCTTCCGGTAGAATTTCACGGGGGTCGGCAAACAATTACAATTGCGGCATTAGCGCCACCAATTGATACAAAGCGCGAACCGAGTCAGACGACTAAACCAGTGGCACAACCGCCCACCCGACTTCATCGAACGGCGTACATTGAAACTGTCACATTGATTTTGTGAACGCAAACACTTTGTTTTTCTTCACAATCTTGCTGCCGTAGACTGTCAATGTCCCCAGTGTGGGACAAATCAAGGATATCTTAAGCTTCACCTCTTCTCCGTCCGTCTTTCTTGCCAACCGCGCGTTACTGTCTTCCCTTCAATCCAAAGCACGATCCTGACTTGGAGCTGGCTTCCCTCTTCCACGTTGGCCAACTTTGCCGCCTCCGGTCTCTTCTGTCGGTTGCTTGCGTACGTTGCCCGCCCGACGCGTCTCCTGACTTGCGCCATCTGCTTTCGTGCACCCTCTTTCTTTCTTTCTTTTTGAACGCCTCGACGCCCAAGGTCATTGCAGATTCAGGGTGTCGGCCACCTACTGCCCAAAGTCGGACGGGAGAAGCCCCCACCCGCCCCCGACCCTCCTGGGAAAAAGGGGATTTTGACGTGGCTAAAATTCTCAACTTTCCCAAGTTCCAAATCTCCTGTCCTTGACATCCGGGCAAAAATTAAGTCAGCTTCAGTACAAACAAACAAAGGCTACCGACGCGGTTCCTCGCCTCAAAACCCGCTTTGGAGAACTTCGGACGTCTCCGGCGACCACATTGAACGTTTTCGGGAGGGAACTCTCTGGGTCAGGAACGTGCCCCTCCCCAACCCACTCCCAAGGAACACACTGGTCGCCCGCGGGCCTGTTTCAAATTGGAGCTCACCCCCCCCCCCAAAAAAAAGAAGATTGTTTTTCGAGGAATGGTGCAAACGTCATCATTTGATTTGAAAATGTCACCAAAGCGTTGCCTATCGGTCCGTTTCCCGGCGTGAGAACTCCCGATCTCGTTCATCATCGGTCGTCCCGTTTTTTGGCAAAAGAAACGAAAACGGATTTGAGAACAGTGTGTGTGAAACTGGGAATGGAGCTCGGTGAGCCCTGACCTCGGTCCTCGACGCGCCCCGGTCTTTTGGCCAACGACACCAAGGAGTCGAGTTTCCCCCGTTCAATCTTTATTCACAAAGGAGATTCAAGGTCATCCGAAAAGCGCCGTCAGAGCCGCGGCGGCCGCCAGGGCCGCTGATCCCTGACGCACGTGCAGCCGACGGCGACGAGGCGGGGCTCCAAGCGGTAGCGCTGCCCCTGCGGCGGGGCGCCGGCGGACGACTTGAGGCGGCGCAGCAGCAGGACCTGCCGCAGGATGGGCCGCGACCTGAGCCTCAGGTC